GAACTAATGTTGGGAAAATTTTAGATTTTCAGGACTGTTGAAAAGAGGAACTGCTCTTTAAGAACCTGATCGCAACGTGACATTGCTCAAAATCGTGTTGCAAAATTTCCATTTACTTCCTGTTTATCTGAAATCCAACGGCTTAAAGAAAGAAACGTCTGCTTTTTCCACAAGCTGCAGTATAGAGCAGTGGTTCCTAAAGTTGGGGTGCTCTGTGGGTCATGAAACTTCAAGTGAGGGTCCCCAGATGATTTCCAGACGTCTGTTTAAATCCAAATAATTTGTTAATGGAGTATTTTTTACCATAATAAGTGAAAAAATACAATAATAAAAAATTAATAAGAGTACTATCAAAGTTATTAGGTTTGCATATATTATAACCATCTTTAACAGAATTATTAGTAAAGTTTGCATATGTAAACCAGAAATATCTGGAGTCACATGTTTCTACAGCTGTTATTTTGTAGGCTGGAAGCTAAAAGGTTTAAAGACTTCCTATAAAACCGAGTACATTTAGATATAAAAATACCTTCAACCAAGCATACTTTAATTATATTAATGATAATGTAAGAAAATGTTCAAAACTGGCTTCCTGAATAATGTGCAGAAAACCAAATAAGTTCTCCGTTAAATGTTTATTCTCAGATCTAAAAACGCACCCAGTGCCTGTGTGGCCATGCAAAAATATAACAAAATGGCCTCAAGTTTACGAGTCATTACCAAACCTGGTCACAGTCCTAGGGGTGGTTCCTCTCATGTCAGCATTGATATAGCAGAAATGTTGAACATTATAAATTTACACTGCTGGATGGAGGCAGATTAAAAAGAGACATTTCGATCCTATCTGTTTTAAAAAATGAGATTTGCAATGTTTTATAGAAGAAAAGAGGAGGTTTTGCACAGGTGTTTTACATGGGTGTCAAAACAAAGTGAGGGTCAAGCTGGACACCAAGGTTGGTGAGAGTGTGATGTCCAGAAAATATTCTAGCTGTAATGGGATATGACTGAACCTGATGAGAAGTGCCAATCAACATGGCCTCAGTTTAGGAGCTGTTCAGTTGGAGATGGTTTTATTCATCCATGACTCTCCTCTAGACAGACAGTGTGTGTGGAAAGTGATGAGGAGGGGGATGTAGAGGAAGAAGATGATGGGTGACGGTCGATTTTTATTTAAAGTTGAGTGTCATCAGCATAGCAGTGGAAGGATGTTCTATGGCAGCAGATGACTTGTGGATCAGGCTTTTAGGTAGAATTTTGGAGGAGGGCGTCAACACTTTGACCCCCCATTCCCACCCCCCAAGCTTATGGGATTTAAATAGGTGAAAAAAGTTGCGGTACTTGTGAAATTGTGAAAACAACACATACCAGCTACTGTAACCTCGCTACCCACCTCCTCTGTCCAAGTCAGCACAATTTATTCTTTATGTGTCTAACTCTGGCTTCATAAAAGAAATGTGGTCAGCCCCTCTACTGCTTGGGAAGCTTACAAAATGTACGGAAGGGGGAAAGTTATGGATGGAAATTTCCGTAGAGTAAAACCAAAAATATTGGCAGGGTGTCCTGAGGCTTCGCCAGCTGATGGAGGATGTCGTAAAATAGAACAGGGCATTGTAAAGATGTGATAACGTCCCTCTCATTGATATATATATTAATAATAATAAATAATAATTAATAGTAATATATATCAATGGTCCCTCTAGCTAAATGCCTGGGTAGGATACAATGTGTGAACAGAGTGGGCCAAGGACTGACCCCAGAGGAACCCCACAAGTGACAGTATGAGTCTTTGACTTGGCTCCTCCAAAAGCAACATGTTCAGTCCTGTTAGAAAGGTAAGACCAAGAGAGCAGCATCATGAAGCCCAATAGTGAGAGAGAGACAAACATGAAATGTAAGCAAGCATGGCATAGAAGAAAACACATTGTGTATGGTGGTGGTAGGAGGTGGCTGTGCATGGCAGCCTCGCCACTGTCAGTGTGCCCCAGGGCAGCTGTGGCTACAATGTAGCTTACTCCCGTCAGTGTGTGAATGGGTGAATGACTGAAGTGTAAAGCCCTCTGGAGTCTGTAGGACTTGATGAAAGTGCTATATGAGTTACATACATACCGTACATGTTAGCAGGCTGAATACAAGTGTCATACAATTTATTTCTACATCACAACATGCTGCATAATAAAAATGTTTTCATGCTTTTTTAAACATTTATTCCAGTCAAAGTATAATAATCAGAAAACATTATCATATTTACCAGTTATCATGAGTACCAAGTTCCTCCATAATTTTAAATGGAAGCATTTGCTCCACAATTCAACAGCAACTTATTTAAACCCACCTGACCTAACTAACAACTAATAGGTGACAGTATGATGAAATGGTTCGTACTGTTGTTTCACAGTGAGAAGGTTCTGGCTTCAAGGTCTGGGCTGGGCATTTACGGGCTGTTTGCATGTTCTCCTCGTGTTTGTGTGGGGAAACTGGTCTCCTCCCACAGTCAAAGACAAACAAACAAAACAAACATGCATGTTGATCACCATTCTCTTGAATCTGGAGGTGTTTTCTTTCAGAAAAACTCAGCCATTCTTTCCTCCAACGAGACAGCAACCCTCCTGCTGAGCCAAAGGCAGCCAGAGGGTGAAGCCAGGAGCAGCGCTTCTTTCTGTGTTCCAAGAAGCCGCCCTGTGACAAGGAAGGTCAAACAGGTTTGACACCACCCTCAACATTATKGTGGGTGTTGTTTAACCTAATTATTACTGGGATTAAACCATTTAAAAAGGCAAGGCTTAAATGTTTATCACWGTTCAAGACAATCACAACTGTTTACTATCTAGTATAACGTTCACATTTGCATGGATGAAATATATAGTACATTTTCCTAGGTTTGAAAGCTAACTGGATACTCCAATCAACCAAGCCTTTTCTTTGTCACAAACAAGCATTAGATTAGCAAAACAGTGACTATTTTCTGATGGAAGGACAAGCAGATGGTTGCGGAGAGCACAAGACAGTGAGCGTGGCAGACAGTGCCTCCAGTTCAACCTCGAGAATGTGTCAGAAGACTTCAGTGCCACGRTGAGGGAGAGGAGACATTTAGTGAGACAAACAAATATGAGACTGTCCTTGAAGTCTGATAAACTGGACAATAATATTTGTCTATGATTTTGTTGAGTTTGGAGCGATCTCACAGATGGGTACTTTACCTCGGCTCTGATAACGATGCTGCCTTCCAGTTGTAGTGGAACTCAAAATTCTGAAGCCAGACAGACGTCAGTTCCGAGTCGAAAGCGTTCCAGTTTCAAACATGTTAGAACGTCTTATTTTTTTTCTCTGCGACAATAACACATACAACAATAGCAATCTATGAGGCGTTTTGAGTGTACAGAGTTAAAACATACCTCCTAATAATTACCATAAAGAACTACAAGTATGGCTGGTTTAATGTAAAGGAAACTACACAGAACAGCTAAAAACCATAAAAGTAAAGTGTTYTGCTCTCTGTTGATGCGAGGAGAGATCATACTGAAATTATGTGCACATGTGCTGCTCAGGTAGGGTCGTGTTGCACCGACCTCTCAACTTAAAATTCCAACATCAGAGGGCGTTCCAGTTAGAAATTACAACTTGGAAGTGCAAAACTGTGACTTTTGAGGACAATTGGAAAGCAGCGTGATTCTGACTGCATGGCTGTCTGTTCTATCATCACTTAGAATGTTAATGGTCCATACATGGGCCAGACCAACATTTGTGGCCTGCCATCTTAAAYAGTGCCATCATTGCCAGATCTGGCCCACACCTGTCTGCTTTGTGGGATGAATTAGTATGAACATTTAAGGTTTYACGTATCAGGAAGTAATTGAAAAGTCACCCAATGTGTTTTAAAACTGGGTCAGTCCAACCTCAGAAAAACTACAACAATGCAAATTTCAAAGTGTCCTTATTCACCCTCAAAGAAAACAAAAACACATAAACTTCACGAGCAGAAATCACATTTTTACATGTAAAAAAWGCTCAATGTCACACGTGACATTTGGGAAACATGTATTTTTCATCTTTCCAGTGTTTGTTTGAACATTTTCTACATGTTCGTGGGATCATGTGGAGAAAAATAAGGTAAAATTGTGTGGTTTATTGTAAAGGTGCTAGACAAAAAAAAGCAGAAGTAGTGTGAAAKTGTTTCTATAAGAAATAAGGAGTTAAATGGAAACCACTGGTTGCACAAGGTGTGGCAATTGAGGAAACAAACGCCCACAGCCGCTCATAAAGAGAAGCAAAGYTTTCACGTATTTGATTCAACCTTCTTCTGAATAATGTCACAGACTAAAAATATCACCTGGAAAAATTATTCCTGTAAAACACTGCTGTCAACCTTTGAATAATTTATTTTCCTTACACTTAGATGAAATCAATTTTGATCAAAGGTTGTTGTCTGTCTGAAATTGTGCTGAACTAATTTTATAACTTGGTGAGGAGCGTTTTTGTTTTTATGCTTACAGATAAAACATTAGATATAAAAGAAGGTTTTAGTTTTTCTTTGTATTTTAATCTTTATGTGAATGATTGAAATGCTGGATGAGATGATAAGGAACAAAGCTGCACTCTGTGGATTGTTTTTCCCCCCTTCAGAGAACAATATGAAGTTTTGAGGAAATAGTCTGCTATTACTGTTTAGTTTTCTTCACCCAGAGTGACGCTACGGTAAAAACTTCACATCCTGCTGCTGAGTATCACAGCATTCAGTCAGACACACACACACACACACACACACACACACACACA